CTGCCCCCGCCCGGCCCCGCGCAGCTCCGGGCCGCGGCCTCGCCGTTGCCCGCGCTGTTCCGCGGGCTGGGCCTGGACGAGCGGCCTCTGGAGAGGCCCCTCGGTAGGTGCCGGTGGTGAGGGGGGGCCGGGCCGGGCGAGCCCCGCTCCCCGCTCACGGCGGCCCTGCTCCCGCAGGCCGGGGCGGCGCTGGCGATGGCAGGGCTGTGGCTGCGCCCGGCCCGGGGCAGCAGCACAAGGAGGAGGAGCAGGACAAGGGGGCAGCGCTGATGGCGCTCCCCACGCGCGGGCAGTGAGTCCCCCACATCCACAAACCCCCAAACCTCCAGTGCCCACCCTCCTCTGGGTCCTCCTGTCCTCTGGATCCTCCTGTCCCCCTCCATCTTTCCTGTCCCCCTCTGTTCTGCCCCCATTCCTTCTGCCCCATATGTCCGCCCTGTTCCCTTATTCCCTCTGTGTTCCTCACCCCTCCTGTCCCTTCATCCCAAAACTCGGCCGCTCTGAGCCCCCAGGCGCTGTGGGGCAGGAGGAGCGGGGCGATTTCGGGGGTTGGGGGTTCCCCAGGGTGTGCCCGGGCTGACCGCAGCCCCCTGGGGACGCAGGATCCTGTGGAAAGGCAGAGGGGACGCGCTGCCCACCCAGCCCGGACGAGCCGCCGTGCCCGGCCCCCCGCCCTGCCCGACGCCCGTGCCCGCCCCAGAGACCCCCCCGGCTGCTGCCAGGCCGTGAGTGGCGTCCCCAGCCCCCGTTTTTGGGGTGCTGCCGGGTCGCTGCTGACCCCCTGTCCCTCGCAGGGCCCAGGGGCCAAAGGCGGTGGCGAAGGGAGCCGCCATCCCCGTGGGGCTGAACTTTGTGAAGATCCACTGCCAGAACGAAGCTGTCTACCAGTACCACGTGACCTTCAGGTGATGGTGGGGGTCGGGGTCCCCCACAGCCCCCCGAGGGTCCCCCACAGCCCCTCGAGGTCGGGGTGTCCCCTGGCCGAGCCCTCTGTGCCCCTCCTGCTGCCCCATGAGGTGGGGCACAGCAAAGAGCTCTGGGTTTTCGCCTTCAGCGGGGATTTTTGGGGGGCTGGGCGAGGTCAGGGGGTGGCAGAGGAGGGAGAAAAGCCCCCGTGTGCCCCCAGCCCCGAGGTGGAGTGCAAGGCTGCCCGCTTTGCCATGCTGAAGGAGCAGCACGCCGTGACCGGGGACGTGATGGCCTTCGACGGCTCCATCCTCTTCCTGCCCGTGCAGATCCCCAAGGTAAGGGGTAGGGGAGTCTCCCCCCGCTTGGGGGTACAGGGGTGCCCCTGTTTTGGGTGGGAGAACCCCCTCTGGCCCTGCCAAAGGTCAGCCTCAAGACTCAGAGGAGCAGCGACGGGGAGGAGATCTTCATCAACATCCAGATGACCAAAATCCTGGAGCCCAGCTCGGATCTCTGCATCCCCTTCTACAACGTGGTGTTCCGCAGGTGAGGGAGCAGAGACCCCCCCTGAGCTCCGGGATGGGAACCCCTTTCCTCCCTTTTCCTGTCAGTCCTCATCCAGTCCTGCTTGTCCTGCTTTTCCTTGCTCAGGGTGATGAAAATCTTGAACATGAGCCTGGTTGGGAGACATTTCTTTGAGCCTGCCCAGGCCACCACCCTTCAGAAATACAGGTGGGTGCTGGCACCTTCCCACAGGATCGTCCCTGTTTCCCTGGAAACTGGGAAGTGTTCCCAGGTCAGCCTGACTTTGGAGTGGCTGTTCTGAGAAGTTGGGAGCTGGCAAATGAAGCCCTGGCTTTTGGGAGCTCCGTGCCTGCTCTGGGTTCAGCCAGGCCTCTTTCCCTGTGGGCACAGCCTCCACATCTGGCCGGGATACGCTGTCAGCATCCGGAGGAAGGACGGGGGGCTCTTCCTCATGGTGGACGCCATCCACAAGATCATCCGCAGCGAGTCCGTGCTGGGCGTGATGTGAGCGCTGCAGAAACCCCAAAAGCTGTGGGGACAGAGCTGCTTCACCTCTGGGGCAGCACAGGGGGGGAGCATTCCGTGCCTCTCCTCTTCTGCCAGGCAAACCATCCACTCGCAGAGCCAGAGGACGTTCCAGGACGAGTGCACCAAGCAGCTGGTGGGCAGCGTGGTCATGACGCGCTACAACAACCGCACCTACCGCGTGGATGACATCGACTGGGACAAGACCCCCAAGGACACGTTCACCCTGGCCAGCGGGCAGGAGATCACCTTCGTGGAGTACTACAGGTGAGCAGCACTGCTGGGCCACCCCCTGGGAGCGGGCTGAGGTGGGGCAGTGGCAGCAGGGAGGGTTTGCCCCACGGGAGGGGTTTGGGGCTGGATGTGTTCCAAACGGAAATGGCAGGGTTGTGTGACGATGCTGTTTTTCCAGCAAGACCCACGGGATCACCATCAGGGAACTGGACCAGCCCCTGCTTGTCCACAAGCCCAAGGAGAAACAGACACCAGAGGGGAGGGTGAGCTGGGCACAGAGATCCGTGGGCTGCTCTGGGCTCCTCCAGCCCCTGGGGAGAGCAGGAATTGCCAGCCCCTGGCATGCTGACCCTGTCCCTCCCTGCAGCGCCAGCTGAAGATGGTGCTGCTGGTGCCAGAGCTCACCTTCCTCACCGGCCTCTCCGACCTCCGCAAGAACAGCCGGATGCTGAAGGTCAGAGCCCCCCTCCTGCCCTGCTCCCTGCTTTCCCCGGGCTTTGTGGGGAGCCTCCCTCACGGCTGGGTGTTGTGGAGCAGGAGGTGATGTGGGAGATGGTGCAGAGCCCCCAGCAGCACTACCAGCGCCTCACCAGCCTCCTGCGCCGCATCCGCGACACGCCGGACGCCTCGCGGGAGCTGGAGCGCTGGGGGCTGCTCCTGGACACGGATATCTACAGGGTGAGGCCCGCGGGGCTCCTGCCCTGCCCTGGCCCCCTGGCACTGCGGGCAGCTCCTCACATTCCCGCTGTGCCCAGACCCAGGGTCACATTCTGCCCGTGGAGCGCATCAACCTGCGACACCGCTCCTTCCTTCCCGCCGAGGAGCTGGGCTGGCACCGCGAGGTGACCAAGGAGGTGCCCATCGCCGTGGTGAGCAGCAGCCTGCCCTGCCTGCCAGGCCTGGGCTGGCTTTTCCTGAGCGCTGGCGTTCTGGCTGAGCCCCTTCCAGCACAAGCCCTTCCCTTGTTTGTGTTGGATTTGCGCTCCAGCCTGTTTTTCCACAGGAGCTGGAGGTATGTGGCTGTGGTGTCTGCTTTCCCACCTCATCCCAGGGTGGAGGGAGCTTTTCACATGCAGGAATTGGATGGAATTCAATCCAAATTTCTCTCGGGCCACTTTCCCTCTCCCAAATTCCCCTCTGTGCTCCAGATTTCTCCTGGGCCACTCCCGCTCTCCCAAATTCCCCTCTGTACTTGGCAGATTTGGGAGAGGGCTGCTTTCCCTCTCCCAAATTTCCCTCTATGCTGCAGCTTCTTGGGTCAC